ATTTTTTGAAAAAAACTTTTTACCCTCAAAAAAAAAAGAGGGATTTTAATTAAAAAAAAAAAAAAAAAAAAAAGCAGGAACAAACAATAAAATAAGTTTGGTTTGTATCCTTGTCTGTCTGTGCAGCTGACCTCACAGTTTTTATGACTAGTTTTAGAGTTACATCAACTGAATAAAAGTGACTTTTACATAGGTTGTCTTGACGGATATCATGGCGGAGTAAGCCGCATTCTGAATAGATTGATCTCATGTACAAAGGGTCAGTATTTGATTTTACAAAAATAAAACTGACTAGAAGTGAACACCCCTGACATCCTCCTCTGTCTTACTTACAGTTTGGCTGTTATGAGGAGAATCAGGGCAACTCCAGTGTCTCTGGTTAGTTTTCTTAGCTGGCCGACCTGCCTCATAAGTACAGAGATAACATCTCAGTAAACCTTTTAGGCTTGTGACCATAAAAAAAAAGAAAAAAGATTCAATCTCCAACAGCTCACCATAGTGAGGCCAAGGTAAAACAACGCTGTTCCTCCGAAGGAGTTGGCCAGGCCGTCTATGAACTCAGAAAGAACGGAGGGAATCCGTTCTCCCAGGGCAAAATGAGAGATGATTCCCACTATCACCATGAACACTATTGGGTTCTTCAACACCTTAAGAGGCAAAGAGACAAATTTAGAAGAATGAACCAAACGTTAATACTTCATAACTGATATTACCTGTAAAACTACAATTCCCAGAATGCCAAGACTATTGTGTTGCAGATGGCTGGCCTGCCTCCAACTTTGCACTTCACAGAGAGCAAAGCCAATGGGGTTGAGGAGCATGAGGGAAACCGGGGCGACTAGGTAGATGTACTGCAGGTATTCTGGGTACGTACTTCGATACAAAGCGTCGACTGGAAGAGAAGACACAGCCAGACCTGAGAAATTATCTCAGACCAAATGTCCATGCCGGGTGATTCTTACCAATTGGGTATCCCAAGGCAAAGTCATTACTCTGGGTAGCAAAGATGGCGTAGAGACCAGCCTTGCTGTATCTATTGTCTGGACTGGCCATCATCAGTGTCAGCACACACACCAGTACAAACACCGTAACCTGTTAGCAAGACAAGGTTATTAATTTTCTTCTAATATAGCAATAATAATATAATAAAAATATATAGACACATTGCATGTTACGCACGCACACAACGCTGGAGGGCAAAAAGGCAATTACATGTCATCCACAGAGCTGCTGTAATAGAATCATTCCGTTAACTAAATGAAACCTGAAGATGTTGGTGTTATTTAGTGCAGAGCGCCTCAGCTAAGGGAAAAATAACGCAGAAAAATCATTGGGGAATTATTCAAAACCACTGGCTTTCTTTTTTTTCCCTCGGTCTGTCAGCTATGTTACACACAGACTTATTACCATAGTAACTGATTGACTACAGCTCCATGAGTTCAGCACAAAAAAAAAACACGCAAAAATCTTCCTCAAAAACAACAAAACATTCAGTCCATCACAGTTTTATTGTTTTAAGCTTGATGTTTATTTTGTTGTAGTTGATCATGTTCAGAAAATCAACTACAATTAACAGGTAAACTGTACTGTGTTCACGCAGTAACAGTTGATTAGTTAATTTAATCACCTGCTCCATTGATGATCTGTCAGAGTTGCTGTGTAGGTCGCCTTTTTTTTAACTGAAGTAAACACACCAAATTCTGCAGCACATCTACGTGTCAAGGTTGTCAAAGTCAAGCTAGCATAACTGACTGGCCTCCCTCTCCTATTTTTTTAAAATGGAAACTTTTTCCTGACTTGTGAAATGGGATATCCTTGAACTTTGTTACCTAATTGTCGTAGTGTTGACAGTAAGTAGCAAAGCGCTGCATCCCTTTATCTTTTATGTCATGTATACATTTAAGATTTAGCATGTTATGTTGACAATTTGAAACTAAAACCAATAGTAGTCATCATCGACAGTCATCCGTGCGTGACGTCACGTTGCAGTGTGTCTATAATAATAACATATAAACCTTTGCAACCAAGACACTCCAAAGAAAAGCCCAAATGACGTCCCCAAAGTCCAACACGACCATGTTTTTAAAGAGTAAAGCAGGAAGAGCAAATTTAGAGACAAAGTTCCCCAAACCCTTTGCCTGGCTTTCCGTGATCATATCAGTCCTGTGGGAAGAAAAAGGTTTAAATCTTCCAAGTTCAAATTCTTTGACATGTCACACACACATGTCTCTGTTTCCATACACCTACCGTCCAGCTATGTAACCACACAGAATGATTCCAAAGCACTCAAGGAGAGCCGGAAACAGCTTGTCAATGGACATGTGGGGTCCCACAGCAGAGCCAGCCAACGTGTTGTGAGAGATGTTTTTCCCGTGGATGAACACATAGTTGTTGGGAGTCTCCATGGCAACACTGGGTTGAGAATTGGAGGGTTTCTGGTGATGGCTCCAGAATCTGGTATAGACTGCTACAAATCAGAAGATGCTTTTGAAGAAGTTGACATCTGAGGCTTACTGTTATTTAAAAAAATAACAGGTAAACAATTTTAACATCCTGTATTTATGGAGTTCAATTTGTTTCACAATTATTCAATAAAAAAAAAATCACATAAAAAAAATAAATTTGTGATCAAAACTTTTGGATTTGCAAAAAATGTTTTGTTTCGAACAAAAAAACTTTATCACAATAAAAAAAAATTAACAAATGAAACCTTTTGAACTGCAATAACTTTTTTATTGTTACAAAAGCTTTTATTATTAAAATCACTCATTTTTGCTTGATGAAGTGACAAAGTTATTTGCAGAACATAAACTTTAATTTGCACATGTCAGAATTTTTTGGTTGACAGCCTAAGTTTTTAGTTGAGATTCTCAAAGTTTTGTTTGATGCTCCCTTTTTTTTGGTTGAACTCAACGAGTTTTGCTTGCAATTCTCAAATGAACATCCTGGGTGAGGCCTAAAGACGAACAATGTCAGACCTGTCCCTATTGGTTAGCGCTGACTAAAGTGGATGACTGACTCCCTGCTATCTCAGAACTCTCCCGAACTGCAAGGTTTTCTGCTTCGCTTCGGTGACGGGACACAGAATGTGAATGGTAAGTAATCTTCACAAAATTACACTGTTTAACAGTGTAATTTGAAAAATGTCCACCTTTTTTTGATGGCAGTCACATATCTTGTCTGCCACGGCCCCCGTAAGCATATCGTGCTACCTAATGTCAGCACTAGGTAAAGTGTAAAAAGTAGGCTTAAAATGAGTGATTTAAGTTTTTTTTTTTTTTTTTTTTTGTTAAAAAAAATATTACAATACAAAAAGTTTTGACCAGTGTCATTTTTTTATTCAGACTATTTTTTGTTTGAAACATCTTTTTTGCAAATCCAAAAGTTTTGATCACAATTTTATTTTTTTGTTTGTATGACATGATTTTATTTTTGAATGAATAATTGTGAAACAAATTTAACTACATAATTATTTGTACTGCAAAGTTGGAACTTATGGGTTCAAAGTCTGAAAAAATGACAACACTCCTATCAATTCTCCCATTTTGGCTAGGAAACTACCGTATTTTACCTGTGTCCTGCCATGCTCCCGTATTACTATTTTCCTGTAAATTTCCCGTTACAGTTATTACATCGCAAAACAGATCTAACGTTATGTGTCGATCCTAAACCACCTAATTACAACATCCTAATTTATCCTACATGCATGATATTGGTATCATTTCAAAGGTATTCTAATGCTCTTTGAAATTAATGGAATGAGAACATCAGTTTTGAAAAAGGTAATCTGTATTGGAAAAGGGGGTGTGGAGAACTGGGGGAAGATGGACAGCAACGGCTGGCGAACCTTCCCCCCAATTTTTCTAGTTACGCCTCTGTATTGTCTCCAAACAGGGGGTTGAGTCAGTCTCTCCTATCAATACCAGATAATTTGAAGCGAAATACGACGGTGCAAAACCCAAAGCCGTGGCTGTATAAACTGAAAAGGCGGACAAAGCGACCTAGTATCCGGGATTCCCTCATCATCATTGCCAGCTGACCGTTAGCGTGATCATACCTGCGTGTTAAAAACACATCTTGGGGCGCGGTAAGCCGTGCCCCTCTAACCGTTTATGCTGTTTGAAATGATTTATTGGGCGAATATACTTCTTACCTCTGTCCTAGAAGCACGGCACTACACAGACGACCGGCATTCCTCTGTCTTTTTTTTCTCTAAGCTCTTGTGTTTGCTGTTTGGTTGAAGGCGGCTCCCAATCTGACAGCTGCAGCAAGAAAACACGCTCCCACAAATGACTGACAGAAGTTTCAGCCAATCATTGTAAAGAACGCTTTCCACCGGCCTCTGTGATTGGTTCACTTAAGAGGACCGTTCTTCAGAGAGAAATCTACAGAAACAAGAATCTTGAGTTTACAACACAACTACCAGATACTCCGTTTAATCAAATTGCTAGTATAAATTCAACAATGTACACTCTTCTTTTGTAAAAACAGGCTTTCGCAAACATTATCAACTGTTAATTTAATGACAGATATAAGCAGCAGAGCAGAGGTGGAACCTATGTGGGGAAGCCCACTCAGATACAATCTCTCCCACACTATGGAAGCTCGTTTCCGCCACTCTGGTAGGTAGGTAGGTAGGTAGTGTTGAGATTTAGAATCTCAATCGATGAATCATAATTTGTATTGACACACGGAGCATAAAATCAGCCAAGAAAAGCATTCAGACTTTACTTATTTTATTAACTTTCAGCGCTGAAAGGAGACACTTTACCATTACATCCGAGAAGAGTTTCTAAAAAAGTCTGTGCAGCGTCTGAGGAGAAAGAGGAGGGCAGCTGATTATATGGACGGAAGACACTCCCTGAAATCATACCATGCCTCTGTGGCCTGATAAGTTTCTGTTTCTCGTGAGAAATGGACCTTGGTGTCTAACAGAATCAAAAATGTAACTCTTTACTATGGGCCCTTTGTCTAACAGAGTGTGACTCTTTCTCGGCCTTGGTAAAGCATCTCAACACCTAATAGTAATCATAATGATTTAACTAATTTACTAATCTCAACAGTAGGTAGGTAAATAAATATAATCTCGTTAATTCGAGATACTTTCTCGAAATACTGAGATACTATGAAGATCCAGGATAAAGAGGGCAGGTGTTACGTCGATCTGGTTTCCCCATCAGATAGGGTTCCCCCTGCCCAGGGGCGTCGTAAAGGGGGAAAAGGGATGACAATTCTAGGGGCCCTGACCAACTGGGGGCAATCCACAACTTAAATATTTACTTTTTTGTTCATAGAAATAGAAGGAAAAAAATCGTGGCCCTATCAATTACAAAATTAATCATATTGTATTTTC